GTTATAAGCGAAAATAGTGAAAGGGGCGCGTCACCCTTTGAAGAGGGGTGGAGAGCTACGCACAGGGGGTAGGTGTCAGGACTTTTAGTATGTTCATCAGTGAGATATTAACTAAAAAAAAAAATCAAAATCCTGCTTTCGTGGAATTAGTTCCGAACTTTTTTCTAATTTGACTGGACTATTCATGTAATAAATACTTTCAAATTTAATTTTAAATAGGTAAAGAATAAGAACTTTATATAGATCTAGGTATAAATATAATGAGAATGGATCCCCGATTATTTATAAACAAAGTAGTAACTACAAATATCTATGCTAAATAAAATTATTTAATTTTGGAACCTAAAAGAATTTTATAATTTAAAAATTCAGGTTCAATTTCGGCAACGTACATGTTTCGGTACTTCATTTATCAAAATTAAAATTTGGGTTCCGATATCTGTTCCTATTATTTAAAAGGTTCCGGTTCTAGAATCGGTTTTGTTCCTGTCTCTGGTCTCAACACTATTAATATACCAATAATATAATTAAATATTTAAATATGTCAATGGCAAATCATACAACTGTCCATGTGAGAAACAGTCAGAACGCAAATCAATACCAATATATTGAAATTTTTGGCTTCGAGCATTATTAATTGTAATATCGAATAAAACTTTATTGAGGAATTGAAGTCTCTTAAACTGGAATCAGTAGGAATTATAGGTATATGGAGTATTAAGGACATTTTTTCCGCTGTACAGTACAATATATTATCACCGTCACTATAACGTGTTCAACGACGGTGCGAAGGAAATACATATTTTCTTTTATTATTATTTTCTGATATCCAACCAATTTTTACAAGTTGTGTTATACATTAAAATTTTCCCCAAGACGCGTCCAAATAAAATGTAATAAGTAATAAAAAAGACAAAACAATGTAAAAAAAAAAATGCAAAAAGGTAAAGTACTGAAACCGTGGTTCGAATTTCTAACATTGGGATTTTTAGTCATATTTATCAAATGTTGACTTATATTATTGAAGTTTTAGTAAGGACCTTTTCTAGTAATAAATATAAATTACTTTACTCAAGCATAACGTAACATTCTAATGGTGAAAGAATTTTTGAAATCGGTCCAGTAGTTTTTGAGATTTTTGTAAAAAAACGCTGTCCATATAATAGTGAGATAAGATAGTCGTTATTCATGTTATGTTTAAAAAATCTGTGTACCTAATTTTAACATTTTAATCATTAGTAGATGTATTAATTTCAAATTATAAAATACACATTTAACCTTTGGTTAAACTAAATTATTTGAAATATATAAATTTTTATTTTTTTTTTATCTAGATCTATTTTGTTTGTATTTTATCTTATCTGAGATAATTAGAATCTGTTTTCTATTATCTTATCTTAATCTAAATAATCTTAGAGCACTTACGTTTTATCTAGATCTAGATAAATGTTACACATCTAGTCTTAAAACTGGTTAGAATATGTATTGAGAAGGCGCAACAGTAGGAGTAAACGTATTCAACGTGCAAGAGAGAGCGTTGTGCGTCGTATTGCCAACACAATGACATAATACAATTGGGTTTCATCGTATCTATGAGATTGTGTTTATCAAAAGTAATAACAACCATTAACTTTTAAAACGATTTTGTTGTCTGTTTTATTGAAGATTGTTTTATATTGAGAGTAATACATAAAAAAAAAAAAATATAGCAATAAACTTGTAGGAGTAGCTTTTTTTCCCTTATTTCGTAACAATCATTACAGTTTTACTGTGAATTACAACGTGATCGCGAACATTTTCAATTATGTCTCAAAAAGATCATTCAAGAAAAAATTGTGGTTCTAGACAAAATGAAGTATTTTCCTCTAGACACTTAAATATGTTTGTGTATTTATTTATCTATTAATTTAATAAATAAATTTATTATCATTTTTCCAACTTAATGACTTACGTGAGCGAAATAAAAACTTTTCGATACTAAAATTCTTGGTGTTTTTGAACTAAGTTCGGTTTATATGGCCAATCGTTTTATATGGGCAAAAAGGTCCCAACGTGTTCACATTAAACGGAATATACTGTACATCGAGTGATATCACAATTGGTATATCTTTATGGTTCACGGTGTATTATATTATTTACTCTTTTATTTCTTGTATTTGAAATATTTTCGACGGAAAATTGCATAAAGATTTTATTCGATGAATTAAGGTGACAAAATCTGTTGTCTTCTGGATATCCTGAAATCGAAATGCTCCATCCGAGAGAAGTAAAATAGTATCTCGATACAGGAACTTGGGTTCCAGGTCAAAATATCTCCAACAACATCTCTAGTAAAAAATATCTCAAATTTATTATTTTAATTGATTCAATAGATATTTTTAAACGGAGATATTTTGTACCATGTCCATTTTTTACTGGACATGTTTTAAATCGAAGGTATTTTGACTAGAGATATTTTTTATCCGAGATATTTTTGCGAATATTTTTTGACTGGTCATAAAGAACTTGTGGTGATTTTGAAATGTATAGATGTGGTATTACTGATCACTTGGTAATAAATATAAGGTACTGAAACATAGTAAGTGATAAATGTATCAAGTACGAACCAAACTCTCAAGTGCCGTGTGTTAATTTACAACGATTATTGCGTTGGAAAATGATTTTGTTTTGTTTCACCAACGTTATGATTAACAATAGTGAAGTACGTGTCATATAAACAGGCATTACGGAAGTGCTCAATGTTTTTTTTTTTATCATCGAAGAATTTTTTTAATCAGTTTTTCATAAATAAATTCGGTTAGTTATAATCCATGTGCGGAGGGGAAGTGATGTAAGCGGATTGAAAATCGTATGGTGAGATCAGGTTAAGTACTCAAAGCAAATCAATAAAAATTATGTTATATATTTGCACAATTGAATAATTCACAAACTGAACTGTAATCATCGTTATCGTGATACATTGTCAAATGCTCAAACTATGTTAATAGTGTATTTTACAAAATATAATAGCCCGATTTATACGAGCCAAAGAAATTTAGTGTACTCTTGTATAAATAGTGCTTAAAATATATGTTATTTAAATAGTAATTTTACCAATAATAATATAAAAACTATTAAAAATGAAGTTTTGAGCTTTTTATTGTAATCTATGACCATATCTATAAAATAATATGGAACTATTATTGAATTTATATTTGATTTATCGTTTTATGTCTATTGTGAGGTTCTGTATCATAAAAACCAAATATCGCAACAGACTTCATGATGAACTCGACACGAATATTAGTATTTTTTCCTCGGCATTTGAACCCGTGCCATGACTTTGATTTGTCTTACACTCTCGTGTTTTTTGATTTAACATACATTTACCAATTAATCTACATTAATCCTTCATTAATCCAGTTTATTCAGTATGACGCTATGATTAAATAACTGTTTATAATTTACTATTATTTAAACTGGTATTGTAAATGATTACCAATATATAGTATAAAATGAAGTCTCTATTTTTTTTTTTTTTTTTTGTTCTGAATTAACTGTTCATTATATAAATGTTATACTATAATTTATATTTTTAAATTGAGAATTAATTTTATAAAATTTTGTTCAGACTAAATGGCCTACGCATACTTATCGTCTGTTTGCCTATCTCAAATTAAAATTATAAACTTATATTATATATATATATATATATATATATATATATGATATCAGATTCTAATTATTGTGTTGCCATCAGATATTAATACTTGTGTAGTGGGTACTTATTAAATTATATTTTGTTCATTAAATAAAATATTTTTTCATTAAATTATATTTACTACTGTTATGATAACCAAGATTTGTTTAATTTAAATAACTTCTGTGCAATAAATGTGTGCATAAATGCAAATAAAATTTATATTTTTGAATAGCTGAAAACTTTTTTTTACATATTATGTGCACCAAACACATGGTAAAGTTGAGTTACTTTTAATAGCAGTCTATTCATGTTAAAAAACAATAAAAAAAAACGTTTTTTTTTTAAGTGTATGAAAAAAATATTAATATATGTATAAGTACATTTTTTATTTATTTTAAAGAGCTTAAACTTTAAATTAATTGTGTTCAAATATTTAAAAAAAAAATTATTGGATCGAGTAAAAAATACACGATTAAAAGTCAATATTTCGATAACATAGCGATATTACCATAATAACGTAAAAAAAAAAAAAACGCTGTAAGTCCCGTTACATACATAGGAACTTTAAACTCTGTATTAAAGTTATTTCGGATGTATAAATTGTAAAAAAAATTATGTATAAATTAACTGTTCAAAACATGGGTTTTTTTTGTCTAAATTGTAGTTTCAGATCACTGTGCACGGGTTTATTTAGCTATCATTAAAAAAAAAAAAATATCATATTAGTCTCAACATATATTGTATAATTTATTTATAAATCATGCATATAAAAAAAATCATTAAATTATTCAGTTTATGATGGGGACGTAAAGTTTTTAAAGCCGACAATGGTGACGTAGAATGAAAGAGGTTGGGAACCAATGATCTACGAGTAAATACATATTTTTTCAGTCGTTTATTTTTATTTTTCCATAAAGACTCGTTGAAAATGATCAAACAAACCTGCTCAAGTATAAGGTCTACAGTTCATTTGAGGCACTGTTTGATAGGATAATGAATGTTAAATTCAAAATCAGTAGAATAATCTCGTAGAATAGGCATCATCTTAGACATGTCGGCGGCGGATATACCTAAAGAATGTCAAACGACATATACGTAATACAATTGCCTATACACATTCGCCGTACTATTCGTTAAGTTTATAATAAAATATTTACGATCCCAGGGAGACCATGGGCATTTAATTTCTAGTAATAATTCAACTAGGTTAGGTTATCGTGTAAGAACGGTAAACGATTACCGTTCTCACAAGATTAATCGCGCGTGGTCTGTTGATTACGGACGTATCAGTGTATATTAACTTCAACATTGTCGGTTTATAGTGCATTTACTGTATGCGAACGGGCGAAAGTGAAGTACCGCCGCCGCCTTGTAAATCGTCAATAAACGAATTTTTTCAGGTCGTATTTTTGTATTATACCGGTTTATTTGGTTACGTTCGCCGAAAGAGAGTGGACATACATAGTGGTTTATCGGCTTCGACAACAGGCTCTTGAGTTCCACGTTCATTTTCTCCGCAGATACCATACACGGATCACGTTCAACATGAAACTGTGTTCGGTAAGTATTCATGATCCACGCTTATATCATCGAATAAATTTGATAACAATTAATGTTAACATAGATGTGTCTTGCGAAAATAACGATAAAAACCGTTAAACGGTGTTCAGTTTTCTCTGTCTCTCTATATTTCCCATATGTTTGCCTCGCCTAGAAACATCATACATAATTAGAGTTATCGAGACTGATTTTCCAGATGAATTCTGTACTGCACAATAGTGACAAAACGATTGGTACATTTATTTTTATTATTTAGGTACTGCATACGGTAGCATTAGAAATTATAACTAATTAGTTAATTTATCTAGTGAATTTTATAAAAGAACTTATTTCCTTTGATTTTAATTTAAACATTTTTCTTGTTCTTACGATAATTTTAACAATTATTGATCATGATCATTTAAATTAGATAATAATAAGTTTTATTTTAAGATTAAACATGATTTGTACATCGAAATATTTCTCTTAATCGCAAACCGTTAAGTTTATTTGTTACTCAACCGTATATTATTGAATGAAATGTGAATTTTTTATGAACACTGCGTGAATTTAATTATTTAAATAACACGTTTACAACACGATGTTATATTAAAGTGATTAAGTATTAATTGATTTATTTTATTTTATTTTTTAAGGGAGCTGATTTTTGCCAAATGCTCGGGAGAAAAAAAATGCTCGTGGAAGAAATGGAACCGGGAAAAGAAAAGTTCAAACGAGTGTTAAATATTTTTGATCTGACCACTTTGGGTATAGGCGCCACATTAGGATGTGGAGTGTACGTACTAGCCGGAACTGTAGCAAAAACGGTTGCTGGACCAGCGGTAGTATTGTCTTTCGTCGTAGCTGCAATAGTGTCTTCGTTTGCAGGTACGTACTTCAATTAGTTGATTATCTTTCAATACAATTTTCGGGTCGCAAAGTTGCTTACGAAAAATTTCATCGACATTTAAAATCTAAAGTTTATTTTTAAACATTTAAATTAAAATTTTTTTTAATTTTATCAGTAGTATTTCTAGTTTACTAGAAGTTTATATATTCTTTTTAATTTTATCCTTTAAAAATCATATGCAATTTTTTTTCAAATCTAAAACAATGCTAGGAGTAACCTAGTAACTTTTTTTTACAAAGGTTAACATTTTAAATTATTATTGTATTTCAATCAGTTAATAAGGATATTATAAAAGTATTGATTTCCTTTTATTAAAAAGTTTTTTTGAATTATTTTAGCGCTAAATAAGCATCGAATATAACTAATATCGTACTTCTAAAACTGGTATAATTTCAATAAACTCGTATCTAAAAATGTATGTATTACGCGTTACATTGTAGTTAAAGTTTTAATTAGATTAAAAAAGGATATCTAACGAAAATTTTGTTGTAAAGCTAATACCTCTTATTATATACTAACCATTATGATAATTTTATACATGTATTTAAAATTATTGCTCGGAAAAATGTATTATAAATGTAAATAGCTGCCTCAAAAATGATTTATTGAAATAATAGTATTATAAAGTTTAATGATACATATTTTTTGCTATATGATTGTGTTCAATAAGTATAAAATATTATACTAAAGATTTTCGGTATTCAATCTAAGTTTGCATCGCAATGATAAACCGATTGGTTATTTTAATTCAGATAGCTTAGGAATTAATACGTTTGCACATTAAATTTCGGAAGTCTTTAACTAGAACTACACCTAATTTTAGATTTCTGTAAGAATTTATCTTTGTTTTAATAATATTATATTATTGTTGTGTTGCTAATATAATATATATACATATGTTATAACCAGTGGTGCCGAACAAAATTTTAGATTGTCTGGTAAATGGCCACCCAATTTACAACTTACAACTCACCCCACAATAGGACGTTTTCACGGCACCACCTACCACCCTAAAAATGTGGTTTGATCATGACCAAACTTGAACCTAGTTCAACGCTACTGATTAAAACAATATAATGTTTTTTTTGTTTTTTTTTTTTAGGTGTTTGCTATGCCGAATTCGCTGGCCGAGTACCTAAAGCCGGGTCTGCATATATTTACAGTTACGTGTCAGTCGGAGAATTTATAGCATTTATTATTGGCTGGAATATGTTTATCGAGCACACGATAGGTGAGTTTTGCATTTCCAATAAACCAAGCGGAAATTCAATAAAATGAAGAAACGTCCGTTTTGATGATCTTTTTGCTTGTGTGCTGATAACGATAATTATTTACCTTTTTTTCTTTTATTTTAGGTACAGCTTCTGCCACCAAAGCTATGACAAATTATGTAGATTCCTTACTAGGATATCCTCAAAAAAGATTTATGATGAAACATTTCCCGATGAATATGAATTTATTGGGCGAATATCCGGACGTTGCATCGTTTTTATTCGTCATGTCCATAGCGTGTAAATGAAAACATAATATACGTTTGGAAGAAGAAAACAAATCGAAAACGTCTCTTGTTGTGTGTTTGATACTTTCATAAAAAATAAAATCCTTTTACATGATGTAATAATAATTTTATTTATACAAGCCAAATACAAATAAACATTGCCTGTAATAAACGTGCATTTCGAGTAGAACAAATATATTTTTACACTCGAGATTAATGTGATCAGATTAAACGTTTTATGTTATTTATTTTACGTATCAATGAAGAGGATGTCAAGTTCATGTTTGGTTGTCTTCGTCTATTGGAGAACGCGAATCGAGGTGTTTAGTAAGATTTAATGTTTAAGTTTATAACGTGGAATTTTAGAAGAGTATAACTTAAGTAATATGATAAAAAATTGTTTGAACAGTTGACGTCCTCTTTACGCACACAACGAAAGATGGTTTCTCGATTATTTTAAGTAGACATGAAACATTATTATTAGGTATTTGGTTTTTAACGACCCTTGTATTTCAGTGGTTATGGCTTGGGGTGTTCGGAAATCGTCCACCCTAAACAGTGTGTGCACTATATTCAACTTATTGACCGTGGGCACAGTAGTAGTCAGTGGATTTTTTTTTGGTACGTATATACATATACTACCCGACGAATATTAGTGTGTACACAGAATTTTGACTCAGTTTTGTCATGTATTGTTTTCTTATCAATTTATTCTGTGTCGTCTTTCCGTTGTGTAATAAAAATTATTAGGTGCAAATTGCATCTGACTGCAACTGAGGCAACATTATTAATTATATAATCAACTCGTTACAGCAAAATGGTCGAATTGGTTTATTCCAAAAAGTGAAATCCCGATTGGAGTAGATGGCGGCAATGGTGGATTTGCACCGTTCGGTTGGGCTGGAATAATCGCAGGAGCTGCGAGATGTTTCTATGGATTTATAGGGTTCGAGTGCATTTCCACAACAGGTTAGTTTAATTTACTATTCTAATACATATTATATATATATATATATATATAAAATTTAGACCTTAGAATTGATTCCATAGTTAACGATCTATTGTAAAATCTTTAGTTGTTTATCGAATTTTAGCGATTTTCGAAAAATGCGGTTGCTGGTAAACATGCTTTGGTTAGTTGGTTATTAGGTGAAAAATTATTTATAGCGTTGAGAATTTAATTAATTTTTTTAATGCTTAAATTCGCATAATAATTTATATTTAAATGTCAAAGAAAAAAGAAAAAAAAATATGAATTTTGTATAGTATTTATAATTTTGTAATATATAATTTTAACTACTCGTACATATGTCGGTTATTAAATCACGGTTTTATTTTTGATACATTGAATGGATGGAGAATGTTTGTCCAGTAATAATGGGTTTCACGCGAAAATTAATCTTGTTGATGTATTACGGCAATAGCGATTGCCCTTAGCATTGTATGAAGAATGTAAGTAGATAAAGTAGGTTAGGTTAATTTAATTTTTATAGTGTGGTATAAGTTTCAAGTTCTAAATTATTAGGTGTATATAATATACACACCTAATATTATTATAGGGTGTTCTAGCATATAATGATATTAATTTAATGTAATAACCATAATACCTAATCCTACATGTGTTATTTTTTTTTAAAAACTTATATAATCTAACATACAGTGAAAACAATTATTGGATTTTCAATTGCTTTATATACTTTTATATGTTAACAACAACTTGTTTTATAAAATTGCTATTTTGATATTTGAATTAAAAATTTAAAGTTATTTTTCTTAGCCAAGGACAAGATGAGTTGATATTAAATGTTACGTTATTCGTTTGATTTTTTTTTTTTATAAATATTAAATAGAAATAAAAAAAAAAAAAATGTACGAAAATATTTTCATAGCATAGTAGGGTGGGCCTTCACATTAAGGTGCATAGTGTTTGAATAGTGAACATCGAAAAGCCTACCCAAAGCTTATCTGGTTTATAATATCCACTTGTTTTTAGTACTAGTTTGTTTCAAAATAATTTAGGCGAAGAAACGAAGAATCCAAAAAAAACCATTCCGTTAGCCATCATGATATCGCTGCTTTTTGTAACCGTAGCATATTCTAGTATTGCATCAGTGCTGACATTAATGTGGCCGTACTACGATCAAGTATAGTATTTAATATGATTCTTTGAGTGAAATCCGATGACTCGAAAAGATGGATTAAAATCGATGTATTAATTTTTTAGGACCAGAACGCACCGTTGCCGGTCATCTATGAACACCTGGGAATGCCGGTAATCAAATACATGGTTACCATCGGTGCGATATTCGCTCTGTTCACCTCGTAAGCATATTGGAAATCTAAAATTTCCCGTTTTCGTATTTCGGTTTATAGTTCAGTATCATTTTCAGTCTATTAGGATGTTTGTTTCCGATACCGCGAATTCTGTACGCGATGTCCAGTGACGGTCTGCTGTTCGAATTCCTGTCGAATATCAACGAACGTACCAAGACGCCTTTTATAGCTACCATGATATGCGGTATTAGTTCTGGTAATTATTCTGGAATGGTATAATAATTGTCTGAGGTTTTCTCTAAACGGTCTAATGCTTGGTTTTCAGGCATATTGTCGTCGGTATTTAATCTGGAACAACTCGTCGATATGACGTCTATCGGTACGCTCATAACGTATTTGATTGTTTGTATCTGTGTAATGATATTGAGGTGAGTGCATTGAACATTTGAATATTGTAAAAAATCTCACGAACCCACTGTGCTTTCACTCTATTTTTATTTATTATTTTATAACTATTTGCTTTTGTCCAAAAACATTGTAGAAGTAGTTGATTGCATTTAAACCGTGTGCTTTTTTTGGCTTGTACCATTATTTTTTGAAATATTAATAACATTTATTAAATATACAAAAAGAAAAAAATCGCCTACTATAGATTTATATTTGATTAACAATGAGCATGAAAAAAGAAATAAAATATTTCGGATAATTAATGAATATTTATGGAATTTTTACAACCGTTTCAATATGAGATGTCACAAATTTTAGCACATGAATACACAGAAATGGTAAAACTTCATTTTGAATAATGGAAAAAATTTAATAAACTTACAACTGTTTTTATTTTTTTTTATGAATATTATTATTGACCGTGCTTTTTTTTTATAGATATCGATGCGATAATGTAATCAGCCACGAATTAGACGAATGCGAAACGTACAAAATACACAAATGGTTATTCCCAAACACAAAAGTACCAAACTCTGATACTCAATATATGTCAAGAGTGCTTATTGTCATTTATAGTAAGTTTTTTAACATAGTAGTATAGTGTTGTAGGATTTTTAGTAAGTTTTTCGTTTGGTATAATTAATTAATGTTAATTGAAATTACCGAATTGTTTCTATAAATTCGACAACGCAGTATTCGTCTTGAATCATATCAAAAATATTGATTTATAATGATTTTAAATATAATACTATGTCTCACTATTAAAATATAATTATGTTTACAGTTCTTTCCTGATAAAATTATAATATTATTGATTGTTTATGTTTATGTTATAAAGGTATTACGGCTTTCGTATTTTGCCTCTGCATGGCAAACATCGAATGTTACGATGGGGTATATATGTTCCCCATAACAGTCGTAATCGGAATTTCAGTCATAATCTTGTTAATTGTACTATTAATGTTGTACCGATTACCACAAGCAATCGAGACCTTACCATTTAAGGTGAGAAAACAGACACGTTACGTAGCAAAAAATCGTGTTCGGATTATTTTGCTTACGTATATACGAGTGTATCACAATAACGAAAATAAATTGAACATTACACGTTAAAATAGCATATAATTAAGTGTATGTTTGTCGTGCGATACGTTTTGAACTGCCATCTTATATTTTCCAAGCAAAATTTCTGCTGGAATAAAAAATTAAATTGTATTATTCTAGGTACCTTTGGTTCCTTTTGTTCCGTGTTTGAGTATATTTCTTAACTTGTATCTCATGGCGGAGCTTAATATCAAGACTTGGATAAGATTTGGAGTGGGGCTCGTTATAGGTAAGCATTAACGATTTGTTATTGGTTTATTTATTATAACAATTTTGCACAGGGTTTTCATCGACACCTGACATGATTTTAAATTGAGATCAAATGGTTATGCTCGTATCAATGCATAATGCGAGGTTAAAGGTTCTATGGGTTGATTCAATAATACTTCCTTTCTCGGGTGTATCTACGTATTCGGTAGAAAGGTAGAACATTACGCGTGGGATGTATAAAAATGTCTGCACAATTTTTCCGGCAATCAACGAGAGCCCTCTACCGATGAATCACAAAGAAATGAAAAGGCACAGCGGTCGGTGCGCAAAACCGCCATATAATGAATCTAGAATAAAATATCCAAGAACAAAATATCCTGTACTAAAATATCTAAGTCAAAACATTCAAGGTCAAAATATCCAACGGATAAAATATCCAGGGATAAAATAACCAATGTATAGGACAAGATATCCAAATAAAAAAATAATAAAAATCTGTATATATGTAAATAATTTTTTTATTTTTTTATTTATTTTTTATTTAGATACATTGTTCATTTTTAAATCAAAATTAACATTATTTAATATTTTATAATATAGTAATAAAATAGTAATATTAAAAATAAAACTGTGTTACGTTGTAACACACTACATATAACTAAAGATATAATTATTATATAACACAACATATTATTTTTATTATTATTATTTTATAACTGTATTATAAAGTATTATTAATGTTAAATGTTATTAAAATGTGATCTAAAAATGAACAATAATGTATTTAAAAAAAAATTTATACAGGTATTAATAATACAGATTTTTATAATTTATTTTTATTCGGATATTTTGTCGTTTATATTGATTATTTTATCCCAGGATATTTTATTCATTGGATATTTTAACCTTGGGTATTTTGACTTGGATATTTCGTCCCAATACCCTATATGATAACAAAGGACAAAGACGACGGTATAAACATGATTTGGAAACTAATAAAGCAATCCGCTGCAGAACGCATATATAATCGTCACTGCTAGCATACACCCTATATCTCTTTGAATCTCTATCTCTATCTTAAATCCCTATCTCTTTATAAAGATCAAACCTTTAACGAATGCGAGGCATCAACACATTCCGCTGTAGAGACACCGATACGCCCAGAAAGAAAATCTTTTTTCGTTTTATTATTTTATGGTATTCGAATAATGAGAATGACTAAATTATTTTTTATGCATATTTATTGGGTTTGCATTTTGTAAAAATAAAGATGTTTAAAAACTTTCCATCGGACATATTGTGTCACAATATATATAGTTTGAGTTTGGGTGGGCAGACTGTTTGGTATACTGGAGGCTATATTAAAGTCCAAAGGCTACCCTACAAAATATTAAACGGAATTATGTAATGATTTAAAAATATGTATTTAGTCAAAATTATTGAAGTGTACGAATGTTTATTACTATTATATTTATTATTATTATGATTATTACTGTCGTCATGGTTTTTTTTTCGTAATAGATTTAGTAATACATCAATTAAATGTCAATGTTGATTTATTGATTAAAATAAAATATTATAAAGAAAAGTTTATACTTATTTAAAAACAGGGACTGTACGAATACTTTTTATAATCACTGTAATTAAGTTACTCATATATTAAACTTGAAGTATTATTTAAGATTATTATTTTTTTGAGCTTAAAAATAATTTTTATTTTATAGGGGTACTTATCTACACATTTTATGGTGCTTGGCACAGTTTGGAAGGTATTAAACAACGAGCGATGGTCGCTAAAGTAAACAATAACGGGTTGAAAATTCGTCACTAAATGTCCGTTGTTAAATACAACGATTTTTATTTATGTGTATTGATTTTTGTTGTAATAATTATAACGTGTGTTTTAAATTTTTAAAGCATTAAGTAATGCAATCAAAAATTCTACTTGTAAAATTGTACAAATCTTATGTTAAAAAATATTTGTGTGTTATTATTTTATATATGTAAATTGTAAATAAATATGTTTTTTTTAAGAGTTTAAAATGTATTATAATTGTATTAATTGTATACAGATTATTTATTCAGCATTGCATTTACATTTAATTATAATTTCAATTGAATAGGTTGTATACGTAAAGAAACCTTTTAGAGTGAGCTGTACAGTTTATACAGCCCATAGATTTTAAGTGAAGAAGACTGTCATTTGCATGAAAAATGTGAAAATTATTTTCAAATATTCAGTGGGTTAATATTTCACCTTTTAAGTTAGTTAATAAAAGTAATGTTATTATGCTGATACATGTCATAAGACATGTTTTTCGTTTGCGTAACTCGTTAATTACATATTATTATTAGCGTTTTGTATTTTGACATAGGAAGATCACAATCATTTAAATGTAATTTAAAATGCGGTCTGACATGGATGACAAATTTTAAATTTGCTCGTCTGCGAATACAAAACTGACAGATTAAAATTTGTCAACGTATGTCCCTTTCAAATTATTGGTATCGCTGGTTAACTTAATACGATGTTTCTTAAATTATAAATCATAATAATAGGAACGTTGTGATCAAATGTAAATATTATAATCGACACAAATATTTTGACATTTGTTCGTACATTTTTGTGTACCTCCATAGTGTCTAATAAAGAAGTATTAAAATTGCCTATCTATTGCGCCGTCATGTTATTCAAAATGTAGTTACAATTTACATATTTCATTTGGATAGAATTTATACTTTAACGGTGTTCAACTATATACGCGTATTAAAATTGCTTATATCATTGTCATCGCATTATAACAATGATTTTGGTTTTTTTTTTTTATATATTGTCTTCAGTTGTTTAAACAATCTTGTTGTACATAAATAATTATTATTTATATCATTTACTGATACTATCGTAGGATAATTAATTTTGTTCGTATAAACGCTACATTTTTTATTCTTGTGCTAACATTTTTTTAATGTAATTATTGTTATTGTTTGGCAGTATCTTTTAGTAATAACAATTATTTTAACTAGAAAAAATATATACTCTAATACTTTAAAAAACCGTAAATATTACATGAAAGGCAGATCGATTAGATATTATTGTATTTTTAGTAACTTATAATAGATAGATATTCGTTAGGAATAAACCAAGAAAAATCCAGTAATTTTATGTAATTTTATGTAAATTTAATCTAAATTTTAATATATAATATGAAAGAAAATAGTGATATAAAGTTAATTATGTTAACACTTGAGATCGTATTTAAGCAAGAAAATATGTCGAATAAAAAAATATAACTATTAAAATACGATTGGAGATGGATACTTAATGTGCAACGCGACATTTTATTCAACAATAGGAACAATCATATATATAATAAGATCATAGTCAAGCCAACAAAAAATAAGAAAAAAAGAGTAACATAGACTTTAGAATAAATTTGAATGGCTGGTACATATATTAATTATAACAAGGTCGTAAGAATTTAAGGTGTTAGCGATTTTCGAGCAACTGCAATTAGTTACACTTACATCGTTTTTACCGCAAGTAAATTTCATTTTTTATTTATTTTTTTTTAAGCGGCTTATTATACTTATTATTGTGCTATACCGAATGGCAAGAATCCAAATAAGACACAGAAAATAATATGGTTTTTGTCGTAATGAAAATGTAAAGAGTCACGATATGCATACCAAACTGTTGCACACCATTAAATTATATTCTTCGAAAATCCGTGATGATAATAATATTTTCGAGTACCATTCATCTATAATTATTATTATTATAATTATTATCGTGTGCTATCGTATATTTTAATTCTACGTATCAATTAATTTCGGGAAATTAATTATAATGTATAGTCTACTGATACAGTGTACAGAAGTAATATCCGAAAGTCATTGATAAAAATAGTATAGATTGCGATGGTTTGCAGTAGCGTGAAATTTTGAGAAATGACCGTCGATAACGAACTAAATTTTGATACTGTTCTGGTAGCTGATGCATGACGCATAGACAGGCATTCTCTGCAAAAAGTTATTTACCAATTATAAATATATATTAGACGATGTAACTAAATCATAAATTTTATAAAATTTCGGACTTTAAATAATTATTTCTAAAAAGTCATATGTGAGGACTTTGGAAGTATAAATTCTACATCCTTCTCTTATTATACTTACTGAGGTCAAGTTAATTTGAGAAAAGATACTAATTCCGTTCTTTTTTTTTTTTTTTCTTTAACTAATGAACGAAATGTAAGCATATTTTTTAGGAAATAATACATAAGTTACACAACAAATGACACAATAAGATCGATGCATGATAAAATTTGAATATTTTAAATGTACTATTAATGTTAATTTTTTATAAAGATCATTGAGCATAATTATACTCTTCAGGACAGATGAGTAAATATATTTCCTGTTCACAAAAATATTTACTTTTAATAAAATTTAGGAATTAAATTGGAAGTTAGAAAACTTGCATATGAGTTTGATTGTTTTCCATCGAAAAAAAATATTTTTCTGAAGAGAAAGGGGTTGAAATAAAAGAAGTTTATTGCAAATATTATTCAGCACCTTATTGGAATAAGTAAAGAATTTGATCATAATTTTTTAAATTAACAGCAAGTTACACATCAAAATAATTTGTGGATTAAAGGCTTATTTATTTTTAAATATTTTTATTATACTTATTTTACATATGAAATAATTGTCATTTTTGTTGCAAAATATTCTTATATAAAGTAACGTATTTAAATTGTTGAGACAAAGTATAGGAATTTTACGGCAAAAATGAAAAAAAAAAGGGTTTATGAATAAAAACCTTATGAAATGCAGCACTGTATTGCCAATACGAATATGCGAAACGGTGGTAGATAATTTGATAAAAAAAAATGCATCAATACATGTCACATAACATTATCTCAATGTCGACGTATTGTATTATAAAATACTCCAATAAAATAATTGCTTCCTATGACCAACGTTTTGTTATAAATTGACAGTTTTTCAGCATTAATACGAACTGACTTAACAAGGTTTTTATATTATGCAATTGATCAGTTAAGGACAAAAGATATCAAGGGTTGTTAGTAACAACTTATTACGTGTTGCATAATTTGACATTAAGTGGTAGGTATATAAAAAGCTATGTAAAGGAAAGATAACCGTTTCCATGAATTTCTGTATTGTTTGCTGTTTTATACAAACATAGGTTATTACACGATTTCACCTTTATTTATATTTATTTACCAAAATAGATAAAGAAATATCAATTTTAAACATTATTGTCGACATGCGTTACACCACAACTATTAAATTATAACGATTTCCAAATAAATCTCAAACAATTAATAAAGTATCATCATAATAAAGACTGTTGAGTATTTAATGATATATTTTCTCTTTATCTATTAAAAAACAATACTTTGTCAAAATATTTGTATTTTCGGATATTGAAATTGTTACGCTAAGGAGTATAGTCTAAATGTGATGCAAATAATCTGTCTTCTTTCGACAAAAGAACAGTGTTTTCTATGCAAAAGTTTTATAAATTACTGAAAGTGCTGTAAAAAAAAAAAAATACTTAAGTGTTCCATTGAGTATAATTCATAATTATAAAAAATATAAAATCAACATTTCAAACAAACGAATCAACATTTTTATTTGTAAATTTTTTGATTTTGTAAATATTAATTTTCAGTATAAATGTCGAAAATATAAATATTTTTTAAAAAGTTTTCAAATATTTTAAATTATTTTTTTTTTATATTTAACTGTTAGTTTTATGCTAAAGTTCATTTTTTCTTGAAAAAAATTAATGAAGTGTTGTACTTCGAAATGTTGTGGAAATGACGTAAGAGTACCTACTATTTAGCATCCTTTTGTTGTAGTATGGGGTCAAGTATACTTAAAGTGACCACGTCCCGTTTTTCATATTATTGTCCTATTGTTCTTTAGGGAATTTTGGAGACACTAAACTGTCCCGTTTTCAGAAAGTAGTAAAAAAATAATAATTGTCAATATTAATTTGTTGATGAATTATTGTTTCTATTGTGTTTAAATAGTATGTGTACATGTGGCATATAAATACTGTATTACTGTATGGTTTTGTTCCTAACCATAATAGCACTTAATTTTTAATAATTATTAATAAAATAATTGTTAATCATTAAACTTTGTTAAAATTATGAAGATTTTTTTTTGTCTCGTTTTGACTAAAAAAATACATATATCGTCATCTTGTATACGCATTCAATATTTTAAAAATATTTTTATACTGATGACAACTGTAAATTAATTGTTTCGATAATTTTTAGGGACTCTGGTAATGAAATCGAATATATTCTTCAGAGTTATAGACAAATAATTGTTATTGGCTTACTATTTGAAATCTTAAGCAACAGTTAAAGAATTTTTCAATAAGAAAGTTAGTAACAAACTTCAATGATTTGTAAGATGATTTGAAAACATTTTTTGTTATTTCATGCTCTGAGTTATTTTTTCCATCTTGATATTTGTTTATCAAATCGATTTTACCGGTTGAGCAGTTTTCATCATATCTACTACACCTACTCAATATTTTAAGTTGTGGCAAGTTAAATATTCTGTAGAACATCATAATGTTTGAATACATATTTTTTTAAAGATATGGTGTGTGGCTAATTTATGTTATTTTATTTGAACAACACCATTGAAGTTCTTACATATATAGCCTGACACGTCACTAAATCGTACATTAAAAAATGTAAAACCAATGTTAAGTCATCGAATTCGTTTGTTAATTTTTTTTTCCACGGTTTAAGGACAATAAATGTATTACTACTTATGATTACTCTCATGTGGCACTTTAATCGTTATGATAACAAAATATTTATCACCTCAATGTCAGTGAAGAATACACATGACACCTAACTATGTTGCTAGTTTGCGGTAAATTGCGTAAAAGTGAAGTACTACAGTCTAAATCAACGATAAACAATTTCCTACGGTTCTCTTATTAACTTATTAACTCTGAACTACTTGATTACAGTTTTTCCTTCGACTTGCTGTATGTATCATATTCATGTTGCCGGTTTTGAAAAGAGATCTTAAAAAGAATTTCAACAGATACTAAACATGATTAGCTCATGGTCGGTAAGTATTATTTACTAAACGCGAAAATCGTTTATTATTATTTACACTAGAACCCGATTGAGCACGATTGATCTTTTTCGTAACCCGATTGAGCACGGTTGCAATCAAACAATAGGAACCAAAAAAGAACCCAAAAACCGGTGATACCCGATTGAGCACGGTCGTTATCGGCCGACCTTTTTGATGACCCGTTTGAGCATGGTAAAAAAAAAAATATTGTATACAAGGTTGTCAGATTTAAAACTAACTATTTGGCTGGCAACACACTAGCGTTATTTTACCGCACGACATTTTTACCGCGCCGTAATTTTACTGCGCGTTTTGTTAAAGTACATTAAAATGAAAAGAGCACAACACACGAGCGTCGCGCAGTAAAATTATGGCTCGATATTTCGAAAACTGTCGCGTACACCTTGACTTTACCGTACGTTAAAAATACCACTATAAAGGCTTATCGTGAGTACTCTGAATTTAAAAATGCTGACAACCTACTTAAATACTTATTGAAAATTGGAATCAAGTATTTAGGGAAAAATAATTTAAAATTTTACCTTATTCATAACAATTGAAACCCATTTTCATGCTCAATCGTGTGGTTTTTGGGTTCTTTTTTGGTTCTTATTGTTTGATTGCAATCGTGCTCAATCAGGTTACGAAAAAGATCAATCGTGCTCAATTGGGTTCCAGCCCCAAAAACCACATGATTGAGCACGAAAATGAGTGCGACGTTGCCGCTTTGTACCGTAGAATATTATTCGGTGCACCGTATTTCTGTGCATGCAAGATTTTTTTATCATTATTATGTAATTCAATTTTAGATTTTTAACCATATTTTATAATTTAAAATTTTTACGGCTCAGGTTTCCTAAAAGAAATAACTCTTCAATAGAAAAAAGACAAGAAACCTTTTTTTTTGCATTTTTTATATTGTTGGTGTATAGAGCTCGTTGCGTCCATATTATTTTTACAAAATAAAGTACATTTGAATATAATTATTTATAACTAAAAATCTTTTATTGGATTTTAATCACATGTTATAATTACATATTTTTTTTTTTTTTGCTAAAAAATAGCACTTGTACAATTGTCATGAAAAAGGTAAAGTTTTAAATTTTTTTCCCTAAATACTTGTTTCCAATTTTCAATAAGTATTTAAGTAGGTTTTCAACATTTTTAAAATTGAGAGTACTCACGATAAGCCTTTATAGCGGTATTTTTAACCTACGGTAAAGTCAAGGTGCACGCGACAGTTTTCGAAATATCGTGCCATAATTTTACTGCGCGACATTCGTGTGTTGTGCTCTATTCATTTTAATGTACTTTAACAAAATGCGCAGTAAAATAACGCTAGTGTGTTGCCAGCCTATAGTTAGTTATCAATCTGACAACGTTGTATACAATACATTTTTTTTTATTGTGCTCAATCGGGTCGTCAAAAAGGTCGACCGATAACGACCGTGCTCAATCGGGTATCACCGATTATTACGTCAGCGGTCCCTAAACTGTGCACCGTAGTGCCCTAGGGGCACTGCGAACACTTTCTAAGGGCACCGTGGTCTACAGTTTATAAAAAATAATTTTAAATGTTTAGATTTTATTTTCCTTATTGTTTTCGTAAAAACTTTATAGCAAATAATGAAATATTTTCTTTTGTTTATTCGGTCATTCTCATTTTAATCTTATAATATTTTTATCTAATAATCATAATAATTATAAAAATGCTTTTATTTATTTTATTTTTAGGTTTAAAAATTCATTAATTTATAATTAAGTTAAATTTTAATAAAATTAATAAAATTTATTATCAATGAGTATTTTTTATGTATTTTTATTTTATTCACAGCAAGACACCGTGGCTAAATTGAGTCCAAAAAAAGGCACCGTGGAAAAAAAAAAATTGGGAACCGCTGATTTACGTATTCACATTTTATTGTACATTCGTATTACAACTTTACTATGTATGTTTTACTTGTCAAAGATTTATAAGCACAATATTTACATCATCACACATTTGACAGAAAGTGTTAACGTATTTCTTGAGTAAATGCATTTAGGTGTCTAGGTTATATGTCAATGTCATTAGTGTAAGCAGTAGTGATGGGCATATCCGAATTTAGGAAATCCGAATTATTCGGATTTGCCAAATCCAGATTTAGGAAATTCGGATTTAATGGATTATCCGAACAATCCGGATTATTCAATTCGATTTTACTGTTCAATTACTCACTTTTATATTTACATAAATTTAACTTTTCTTCAGAAAATCTTATTCAATAACCATTCAAAGGTTATGCAAGTAAGATAAGTTAATTGGGTATTCAGTCATGATATCACTGTAAGTCATAAAGGTATAAAGTAAACTCAACAATTTAATACATTTTAAATTTGGTAACTAATAATACATTATAAAAACTGTAAAAACTGTTGAAATCATGATAAGTAAATTGAAATTCATAAAATATAATATTAATTTTTTGTTATAATAAAATAAAATAATTTATTTTACTAAAAATTAAAAATAATTATAAGCTGTATAAAAAGCAATTTCATAAATCCGAATAATCCGGATACTTCGGCAAATTCAGTTAAGAATTTGATTCAAATCTGGATTTGAATATCCGGATATCCGGATAATTCAGATTTTCAGATTTCATGCCCATCCCTAATAAGCAGTATGATGTTATTTACATTTCGATCAGAAATAATTGATATTTTTGAGAAAAACATTAAGCTATTATTATAAATTATACAAAGATCTATTATATTGACAGTTATATTTTTAAATATTGATCATAAAAACTCGCCACCAACAAAGAATCATAAAGTGAATTTTTTCGTTAATAAAAACCAATGATAGGTTTTTTTGTTTGTTTCATAAGTAGTTCTTCAATCTTAGTAGCTAAGGACATCATGATTCTTTCGATTAAACTCAAATCTTTTATATTGATTGTATTGGGAACAAATGTATTGTTTTGATAAGGTTTTTTTTAGTACTCAAAAAATGCTCTCGTTCCAGAGAAAATCTCTGTACGAACTATTGTGCCGGAAAAAAACGTTCTTAAACGTAGAAGAACCAGGAAAAGAAAAGTTAGAACGAGTGTTAAACGTTTTCGACTTAACCACCTTGGGCATCGGTGCCACGTTGGGATGTGGCGTGTACGTGTTGGCTGGAACTGTGGCCAAATCGGTTGCGGGCCCAGCGGTGGTGCTGTCTTTTATCGTGGCTGCAATCGTGTCTTCATTTTCAGGTACACCTGCTTAGGTTATTATGTAGCATTTGAAATAGTCTTATTTTCTCCTTTCCAATCAAATATCCCACTCAAACGTTATAATAATAATATAACCTTCTGATGGCCATTTGACAATACTGTTTAGCTGCTTCCAAATATGTCTAGTATATTTATTGGATTAATTACTTTGATTGTTCTGCATTGTAAAAACTTTTAAGGTATTTCGTACCCACTGTGAAATATTCGGTAATATAAACGTGCCAGAGACGTTTAAAATCAACTTGTAACTTTGCGTTTATTGTTACTTTTACGTTGCACCGATGTTGTGGTTACTGCTGTTGTACAAATTTGATGACATTTAATTTGAGTTGTATTAACGATTACAATACATATTTTACAATATTGTATTAACATCTTTGAAATGTTATAAATAAAACATTCTAGAAATATATATTTTACATTTAGTAGATGTTATTAATGAACAGACCGATTGAAGTAAAACGAGAAAAAAGTTATAAAAATTATAAGTATGAGTTGGATTAGAAACGTCATTATACGTAGTACTAATATCTAACCTACCTAATCTGGGAACATCTTAACTTACTTAACCATGATTGACTATTAATAATAGTGGGTATAATTTATGTATTTAGGTAATACAATTTTCACAATATTGAGCTTGGAGATATAGGATTAAGCAGTGTTATTATTGTTATCATAATGACATAATTGATGATTGTTATTCAAACTATCATATGGTTACGTTTCAAATAGGTTATTTATATATTGGTATATTTTATTTATAAATAGATCCAATATATATATATATATATATATATATATATATATACAGTAAAACCTATTTATAAGGACCCTCTGTTAGATGGAATCCTCCCTATAATGGAAAATGTCAGTAGTCCCGGTTCAAATAATATATGAAATTGACCTCTTTAAGACGGAACCTCTACAAAACGGAAACGGAAAATGTTCGTAATCCAATTAGTAAAAATACTCTCTGTTAAACGGAAAATAAAATTATTTAAAGATAAATTACAGTTACATAAGTATAAACTATATGTATATAATATATATGTTTGGTAACTAGATAATCTAAACTATATCATTATCTGAAATATCATTCGACGGTATCGTTTCACGATTGTCATATTAATTTATTTATTATTAAATATAGATATATACGTATGTACATACCTTTAACGTATTTTTGTTAATATGAACTGGGCAAGTCATCTTTATTCTGTCGAATTGTTCATATCGTTTAGTAAACGTGCAGTGCTCACCGTTTGTTTTATTGTCGTGATTTTGTTTGTTTTCGTACTGTTTTTAGTTTTTACTCGCAAATATGCCACGTACAGCTCTGATTTTTTCCGATAACGTTAAACTAATCGAGTTGAAAGAAACACAAAAACTAAGTACGAAGGAATTAATTAATAGATTTAAATGTGGAAAAACTCAAGTTTACGACGCGATAAAAAATAAAGAAAAGACTATGGATGAATGGGTAAATAGCAAAAACTCGGGTAAGAGTATAAGAGTGAAAACTTCCTCATTTTAACAAATTGACCAAAAGTTGTATGAGTGGTTTGTCAGCGTTCGGTCAAAAAATTTGCCGATTTCCGGTCCAATTATACAAACAGAAGCTATGAAATTGGCTGAAAACGTGAATGTCAAAGATTTCAAGGCTTCGAACGGTTGGCTAGAAAAATTTATTAAAAGGCATGAAATTGTTTGGAAACAAGTTAGTGATGAGGTTAATGACGTTAATCAAGAAACTGTGGTGGAGTGGAAGAAAAATATATCAAGATTCATTGCTGGATATGAAGTAAAAGACGTGTACAATGCTGACGAAACGGGTCTTTTTTTCAGAAGTATTCCTACTAAGTCACTAGTATTGAAAAGTGAGTCTTGTTCTGGAGGGAAAAAAGCAAAGGGTCGCTTAACAGTGCTCATGTGTAGTTGTATGGCTGGAGAAATTAGGAAGCCATTGGTATTTGGCAAGTCTAAAAAACAACGGTGTTTTAAGAACATGGAAATTTCTTCATTACCTGTCATATGGAAATTTAATGAAAAAGCCTGGATGACAACAGAGATAATGGAGCAGTGGTTGCGTTATTTTAACGCAGATATGCGATCTCAGAATAAAAATTTCCTAATATTCTTAGATAATGCTGCATGTCACCCAAAGATCGAACTATCTAATACCAAAATGCTTATGCTGCCCCCAAATACCACATCGATCACCCAACCAATGGATCAAGAAGTGATTTACACGTTCAAGTCTTACTATCGTAAGTTTTTGCTACAATCGTTATCATGCAAGATGGATAATTGTTCTTCAGCTCATCAATTCGCTAAATCAATAAGTGTTTTGGATGCTGTCAACTGGATAGCGTTAGTTTGCGATCATGTAAAAGCTGGATGTGTGCAAAATTGTTTTCGTAAAACCGGGTTTCTTTGAAATGAAAGAACCAATACCAATGCTATAGATTTACCAGAAAATGCTTTAAAAGATATTAATGAGGAATACGTTATAGCCAATGTTGATGTAGAAAATGTTATTACATTTAACAGTAAATTAGAGACGCACCAAACTTACGATTCGGTGATTTTTTAGAAGAAGAAGAAGAAAAAGAAGAAGAGAACGATGATAATGATGATAGCGAGACCAACGATGAGCCAAAAATAAAAGATTTTAAAATTGCAATCTCATACTAAAAAGAATTACAAAAGTTATCAGCCACCATTTCAAATTCAAATCTATTAGAACTTATAACAAAAGCCCGAGAATGTGCTGAACGTGCTGCTCTTAAACACAAAAAGCAATCAAATATTAAAAACTATTTTTCTTAATTATGAAAAAGGTACAAATATTACTTTTATTTTATTTTAGTATTATACCTACACAAAACAAATTTAAATAGTAAGTCATACATGTATAATAATTTTATTGTATAAATTTACGTTTTACGAGGTATTTACCTAAAATATAATTTTTTTAACACATACGTACATATACATACATTCTTAAACACTTTTTTTTTACCTCTCTAAGACGGAAAACTCTTTAAAACGGAAAAATTGTTGGTTCCAATTGATTCCGTTATAAAGAGCTTTTACTGTATATGTATATTTATAAGAAATCTAATTGATAAACAAGGTTATAAATCAGTATGATAGTATTTGACAAAACTAACCAATTAAGTGGACGCCACATCCGCTAGTGTTGTTTTCGTCTTACAAGTGTGTAAAATAGCAAATTTACGTTTAACAGATCACGTTTAAGTCCGTTTAAAAATGAGAGTAAATCTATTTATACGGATACTTGATGGTAATAGAACATTATCTGTGTTCATATGTTGATTTTTACGATTATTCACACTAGTTATGCACTAGTAAGTCGGAAACAACACATGCAATGTGGCGTTCTCTTAATGTAGGTACCTGAAATAAACTTGAATATGATTCAGTTTGGATAAGTTTTTATAATTTAAGGGGGGGGGACTTATACAATATAGAACTAAATACCAAATTCTCAAAAAGCAATGTCATTAGCTTATGATATATAAAGGGTTTTTAGGCTTCGATATCATATAATTAAATTACTTTTATGAAATCACGGCAAAATGTTGCTAAGCTATCGGCTGTAGCTACATCATATTAATATCTTTGCAATATTATAGAAACGTGTTTCCAAGACGTTGAGATATTATTAATTTCATGTTAATAGGATGTTGATATTGAAACATAAAATAACATTACAATATTAACAGTGATAACAGATACACGATGTTGAACATACGTTTATGGGCGCTGTTAGAGTTGCAACTTAAATCGTACAGCGCTACGATGTTATGAAACATTGAATGCACGGTGGGATATTATGATTTCTATGTGTATACTTACTATTTACTATTATAAATTTAAGGTTATGAATCTATTTGTATCTCTTTTTAAATACTAATAAAATATATATTTTTAAAAAATTGGTTTGAACCGTGTAGGCCAATAGTGATAAAAGCATATTGTAATATTTCATAATTCCCTGAGGGGATGCAATATTTTGCGCTACGGATTTGGCATATCTCGGGCCCCGGCTCCTGAAATGACTTTAATTGATTGGTTTAGTCTGGTCCTCCAAGTTGGGGGTTAAATTAAGAGTTAACAACCCTGCCTAGTAAAAGATTCTTATTATGAAACCAACACCTAAGTCACTTAAGACACCTAAGCCTCAGACAAGATGACATGGATTCAAGACTGGTTTTTGGAAACGGAAAGTTGATTTTAAGGTTGCGTCATGGAATGCGACAAGCTTATATAAAACAGGTGCAAGCCAAAATTTAGCTGATATTCTTAACACCTACGACATTAAAGTAGCAGCCATACAAGAAATAAGATGGTTGAGAGTAGGCCAACTAACGATTGTAGAGTACACAATTTTCTTCTCTGGAATGGAAAATATGCATAATTTTGGTAGCGGTTTTGCAGCCCAACCATAGGACATTAATACCATACATTAAAGTGTTTAATCCAGTATCCGAACGAATATTAATATTAATCATCAACTCTAACTTCATTAACATTTGTATAATAAACGAACATGCAACAACAAAAGTAAAATATGACAATGTGAAAGATATCTTCAATGACGAGTTGACTGAAACATACGAGAGTATCTCTGGGAACGTGATAATAATTAAACTAGGTGATTTCAATGCAAAATACGGACGGGAACCACAGTACTTCGCTTGTATAGGGAGGGAAAGTTTACATAGTAATAGCAATGACAATAGCGTTTGCAACATCAAATATGATAGTCGTAATTTATGATCATCAACTATGGTCGATGAAACAACGGGAAATTGGCGGAGGAAATACAACAAAGAGCTGTAAGATATTTCGGAACTAGCACCAGTAACAAGCTTTATTAAGGGCCAAGGAATACAATGGTTAGGTCACATAGTGAGAGGACGAGAGAACGAAGTAGTTAGAGTAGCATTGAGATGGAAACCATAAGGTAAAACACCTAGAGTTAGACTTCGGAAAAGATGGATTGATGTGGTAGAAGAAGTCTTAAAAACCTTCGAAGTTGAGGATTGGAGAGGGACAGTCCAAAATAGTGATAGGTGGCGAAGTATAGTAATAAAGACAAAAACTCTTAGAGAGTAAAAATACCAGAAGAAGAAGAAGAAGAAGAATATTACATAAAAATGATTATTTATTAGATAAAACTATAATTACCTGGAAAAGAGCTTCAGGAGGTAGAAATACACTACCGAAGCATTCCAAGGTTTAAAAAAGTCATAGTCGATAGATGTATTAAAAATTAAAACTAAAAGTTTATATTTTGTTTGCGTCACAAAAATAAGTGAAACTGAATTCTAAAGCGCACTGCCACTCCGAACTTAGGCCTACCACTAGCCGGCTTGGTTAGCCAAAATAATGATAGGGGCCGAAAAACCCTGGGTTGACTGACATCAACTGGAAACCTAGTTCGTACCACAGGAGGGGGAGCTCCACCGCACGTCGGACCGGCCTAGCTGCTCCGGACTCGGTGCCCCTAAGGTTGAAGAGCCTATTTTGGCTGAAACGTGATGGCAGTGGCACAGCGCGAGATAGTAACAAAACCACAACACCAAGTGGAAACCGCGGGTCCCAACATGGTTCTCTTGTCCACGGATTGAAAGGGTACGGGCCTAGGCTCAATGCTAGTGGTCCATACGACGACCCGGACCCCTAGGTTATACATTGGGGTTCGTTTCGACCGTGCCTTCTGAGTAACGTCTCGCGTTAATAGAAGGGGTGCGGACAATAAGGCCTCGGCCATAATTCCGGATCTCGTGTCTCTCCGAACTACTGAAAACTACACCGATGAAAACTGAACTGTGAAGGACGAATACGAGGGTGTGATTGTGTGAAGTGTGAAGTGAGCTAATTAGAATATTATTTTGATATTTTAGTTTTCTCTTTGGGTAAATGATCGATTTTACATAATATTATTTTCCGACTGAAACATTGACACGGACTGTCAACAGCGTTCAGCTGAAACAGTACGTGGCGTGCGGGTTCTTGAAATTCCTGATTTTATGGGAAAGACCAGCGCAAGCCGTTTATAACAAAATATCAATATGTACATTATTTCTATGAAACAATTATGTGATGTTTTTATGATGTTTCTTGTTAATGTTTTTGTGTGATCCCAATGTAACACAGCTGCAAGTTTTGTAACTTAGATTGCTCAGAGGGAATTATAATCTGATTATCCAGAGCTCTTCTGTTAAATCTATGCTTCCACTCACAAATCACACGAGTATTTACATATAATAATCAATATGCATAACGTTTTGATTATAAGAAAAAAAAAATTAAAACAAATCTTAATTAAAATTATATCAGAGTTTATACGGTCTTACGATAAAAATTAAGTTGTTATGACAAATGTTATTGGAATAAATTAAAAAAATTAGTTCTATCATAATTTACTTAAGGCTTATAAAAAAAATTATGATTGTCATTTGGTAAGTCATAAGTAAATTTTATATTGTAATAGAAAATCATGTAATCATATATTATCATTTCTAAAGAATATTATTTTAGATTCGAAGTGACATTTTTTTCATAGACATTTTTTCGAGTATTAAGTCAGACCACATGTACAAGTTTGAAGTACTTGGTACTTGTGTTTAGTACTTCTGATTGTTTTTTGTTCTATTAAATCGTTAAAATTGAGATAACATAGTATATAATAATAAGAAAAATAATTATTTGTTGTTATTTTTAATTACTTTGTAGTAATGTTTCAATAAGAGCAAAATAAAAAAAAATAATTTGGTAGAGTTGTAATAATTCATCGTATACCTAGTTATATTTATAAATGAATACGGCAGAAAAAGATTAAAATACACACAAAGAAAACTTTAATAGTAAAAAAAAAAAAATTACTTTCAGCTGTTTAACTTTTTGCTGTCTTTATTCATAATTTTATATTATAAATCCCAAACGAGGTCAGGGAAAATCTTACGTTTATTTAGTATATTTTTATCTCTATTCTTCCAATTCTTACACAAATATCAGTGTTCTGTTTAAATAGAAGCTTCTTTGAACTTGAATTAAGATGAAAATGTGTCGTGGATACAGATCATATAATTTTGTTTGGTATTTTCAGGAGTTTGCTACGCTGAATTTGCCGGGCGTGTACCTAAAGCTGGATCTGCATATATTTATAGTTATGTAGCTGTAGGAGAATTAGTTGCATTTATAATTGGCTGGACCCTGTATATTGAGCACTCAATTGGTGAGTTATGAAATTAAAACGAATTAAATATTTTCATAAAAATCAAGTTTTGACAATGACGTAAACATTAATGTAATTAACATGTAATGTTTATATTTGTGATTTATGTAATGTAAATAACATTAGTACATTTTTTTCCCCAGGCACCGCTTCTGTTTCCAAAGCTATGACTAATTATTTAGATTCTTTACTTGGAAATCCTCAAAAAAATTATATGAAAAAATACTTTCCATTGAACCAGAAGTTTTTGGGTGAATATCCAGATGTTGCGTCGTTTTTGTTCATCATGTCTATAGCAAGTAATAAGAAACTTGTACGATTCAAATACGTGAATAAAAAAAAACAAACTATATATTAAATGTTAATTTACTTCATATTCTTTATTCGTTTACAATTAAATTATTATTTATTATGCGTTTTTTTTTTATCTGGTTACTATTCATATGTATACAACTCAATGTTCTTTTAAACGGTACATTTCTTTAAAGTAAAATGCAAATCTTACACTCAAACGCTAAATTACTATAGAATTGTTATACCTATATAGTGTATGGATGTTTACAAATATATATTTACAGTGGTTGTAGCTTGGGGTGTTCGAAAATCGTCAATTATCAATAGCGTGTTCACTGCGTTTAACTTGATGACAATATTCACTGTCGTCATAAGTGGATGTTTTTTCGGTACGTATATCGCAACAATACTTTTAAAATAAAATAAAATATTTTGTGTTCTCCACTATTTAATAAACATTTAAATGTGGTTTCATTTCCAAATTCCGCTATCGTAATATTATTGTGTACTAAAAATTTCCGATATTCGTCAATTGTGCCGAATTTGGGACATTACCTGTATACTATACATCTATTGCGCCAGTATGAAAAGGATATATTGAAAAGGTATACATCTATTTCGTTGGTATATCAACTATATAGTACAAATAAAAATCATAATGGCTAAAAATTAAAATTAAAACTAAAATCAAACTTATCATTCTATATACTTGGTATTTATACCAATATTATACTATATATACTTACATTAATCCTATAAATGTTGAAAAGTTCTTAAGTTTAATATTAAAATTAGTTATGTCTATTTTACTATTTATTTTTTTGTCATAAATTTAGAGTTTGGTCTATTTGTGATAACTAAGAGAATACGTATTATGATTGTTGCGTTATGTTATTTTTAAAACTTCATAAAAAACAAAAATATTTGGATGGGGTCAGTAAAAATATTTCCTAAACCCTGAGTGAAATGCCTCACAAGCATTTGTTGTTCTTTCACTTAATATGTTACACGATGACCAAAGAAAGGAATACAAGGGAAAAGTTGCATTTTCATCAATATATGTATCAATGAGGTAATCGCAAAATGCATTAACTTGAAATCGATTGACGCAATAGATGTATACCTTTTTTCCATCCCATAATTTTTCTTTCTGTACCTGCGATTTTCGGCGTAGTTGATATAAAGCCAAAATTTCGTATTATTATCAGATAACGTTATATAGACTCAATTTATTTCAGGTAAACTGTCTAATTGGTCAATTCCAAAAAGCGATATTCCTATTGGAGTTGACGGAGGTGATGGCGGATTTTTACCATTCGGCTGGACCGGATTAATCGCAGGAGCTGCTAGATGTTTTTACGGATTTATCGGATTTGATTCTATAGCCACAACCGGTTCGCTTACGTTTTAAATAATAAGTGATTAAAATTAAGCATAGTGACATGCCAAATTTATTATGCCATGAATGATAATTGAAGCTACAAGTATCTTGTGATAACAAAAACTGTTATTTTTCATAGATTTAATCGATTTCATTTTAATTTATGCTCGACTTAGTAAAAACAGTATATCGTTACACAATACACTTTATTGTTCAAAATAGTAACATGCAGATAAGATTTTACTGTGATTTCTGCTTTGTTGTTGGATGGCGCCGTATTATATTGCTGTTTCATTTTTATTTCCTACCGATGTAATATACATTAAAACACTACAGCAAAGATACTTGTTTACTTAAAAATTAATCGACAATGGTTCAAATAATATTTTGTTTGCGGCGTACCAACTACCAGCCAGTATTCGATAGTCATCCCTAACTTTTAGTATGCTTATAAGACCAATAGAGTTATACATTTACATAAAATATTTAAATATTCAGATAAACTATAGTTTCGTTTCAATTACGATTTTCATTTAGGCGAAGAGACCAAAAATCCAAAAAAAACCATCCCGTTAGCAATTATTTTGTCGTTGTTCTTCGTCACATTGGCATATTCTAGCGTCGCGACAGTATTGACGTTAATGTGGCCATACTTTGACCAAGTATGATTTGATATAATATACCATATGTGCGATCCGCTGGACAACGTTAAACTAAATTGATGTCAAATTTTTTAGGACTCGAATGCACCGTTGCCGGTCATATACGACAACTTGGGAATGCCAATTATCAAATACATCGTTACCATCGGCGCAGTGTTTGCTCTTTTCACCACGTAAATAATGCAGTTTAATCGCGTATACACTCATTGTTTGACGATAGTCGAAGAATAAACTAACTTGAACAAATTTAAGTCTTTTAGGATGTTTGTTCCCTATACCACGAATTTTGTACGCCATGTCCAGCGATGGTCTACTGTTTGAGTTCTTGTCGTCGGTCAACGAACGCACCAAAACACCTTTTTTAGCCACAATGATTTCCGGATTCGGCGCAGGTGATGTTTCGATCCTCAGACCATCTTATCAAGAGGACAACATATCCGCATGAAGTGTTAATTTCCGTCTTAAAAACGTACCATGCATTTAGTAAAAATGTTAATTTTAACTAAACCGACCTATTGTCAAAACTTGAAGGGAAGAGTAACATTTATGTGTAATACGATATTTTTATTTCTTATACGAGTTTGTAAAATATTACTATTTGAAATTACGTGTAACTCGCTTAAGAAATCGACGTATAAACATAGATAATGTTCTTCTATTTTAGTTTGTTAATAGGTCAGTGTACTCTAGTACGTCAAATCCTACAAGACAAAATCGGTTTTACTGAACGCGCATTTGGCATGTTTCGAAAAATTATGACAAAACATCATGCGGATATGATGATTTTTTAATAATAATAATAATAATAATCTACGAGTTGATCATCATATTTCTCCTGGTGTGCAGGCTTATTGTCATCCTTGTTCAACCTCGAACAACTAGTTGAAATGACATCCATCGGCACATTGATGTCGTATCTGATGGTCAGCATCTGCGTGCTGGTTCTCAGGTGTGTATATCAGGTGTATTATTTTACCGTTTTGTATTTGATTGTCGAGCTTGCATAAGTCGATCATATGAGAAATTGTTCAGCTCGAAAACATGATCCGTTTTGTTCTAATTCAGATACAGGAACAACAACACATTTGTCGAACATTCGAATGACTTCAAAGACCTTATAGTTTACCGATGGTTCAATCTGTCGGACACGAAAATACCGAATCCCGACACGCAATACATGTCCAGAGTGCTGATATTAGTTTACAGTACGTTTGGTTTTTTTTCAGCGATTTTGCTTACGAGTATAAGGATAATATAATTGTGTGCCAACATGAATCCTGCTCGTTGTTGATTATTTTGTAATTGATTTTTCGATCATGTACTTGTTGCACAGCTATTTTCGCAGTAGTGTTTTGCGTTTGCATGACTAACGTCAAATGTTTCGAATCCGCCTTTCAGCTTCCCTTGACCATCATAGCCGGTTTTGCAGTCGCAGGCTTACTGATTTCCATGTTAATGCTACACAGACTTCCACAAGCAATCGAAACATTATCGTTCAAGGTAATAATACGTATCAATGTAATATTAGACTAATTTTATAGCAATTTTCAATCAATAATTGATGGTGGTAATGTATTATTCTGTTTTAACAGTCTTTATTGTTCATGATATGTTAATAAATACTTCGTTTTTCAGGTACATTGCGTTCCTTTAGTACCATGTTTGAGTATAATCTTAAACTTGTATCTGATGATGGAGCTTAATGGCAGTACGTGGATAAGATTAGGCGTTGGACTTATAGTCGGTTTGTATTTAAGAGTATACCAAGTGGATATTTTTTTCACATCATTTTAATATTTTAATTTATTTTATAAATACCAAAAACCGTTTAAAAAATGATTTAAAATGTTGAATAAAATAAGTTTATGCGTGTATGGTTTTTAAAAGTGTATAATTGTTAATTTTTAATTTTATTAATTTAAAAAGAGTTGCAAGAAAAAAAAAATAAGAGATCAACAAATATATTTTTTAGTTTTATGTTGAGTGCTTTTTTTATAAGGGTTAAACTTAATGCGTGAAAGTTAAAATAAAATAAATTATTATTAAATCTGTAAGGTTCATTAAAATAATTAGAATTGTTACCTAATTTTATATGTTTATATTTTATAGGTTTATTAATATACGTGTTTTACGGAGCATGGCACAGTTTGGAAGGAATAAAACAAAATACAGCCAAAGACACAGAATGCAAAAACCTGCCAAAAATATATTCTTAAAAGTTATGCATTATTTGGTATATTTATTTATAATTAACTCTCAATAACTTGAAGTAATTTAAAATTAAAACTAGAATTGATGACATAACTGATTATTCAATTTATGACTGTAATTTATACGGATAAATAAGTGTTACATTTAAGTACGAGTATGTGTTACCTAATTTATCCAAAAAATATTTTTATGTAAATATAAACATTGTTATTAAATCATAAATACATTTTATAAACACTTATTATTTGTATTTATTAATGAAATAGGCGTCGTTCACATAATATGTATAATATATATGTATATTAGTGGTATTTATAACAAGGTATGACGTTATTACAAAAAAAAAATTATAATTTAAAAAAATATTCTTATTAAACGACCAAACGACAAGAGATAATTTTCAAATGTTAGTTTCTGTTTAAATTTCCAAGTTACTCGTGTTGTTCAAATAAATTTAAATGCATTTTAAATATAATCGAAAGAAGTATTGCAAGTTGTAACATAAAATAATCTTCATGATCTAATTATTATTCTATAAAGTGTATGGTTTCCAAATATTAGTGATACTCTTGATTGTGATAATTCAATAATAATATAATTAAATTGATAAAAATACTTAAATATGCCAACAAAAATTAATTTTTTAAATGCACATTAAAAATTTAGTATGAAAAATAATAAATACTACTTTTTCCTGAAAAAAGTATTGCACATAATAATTAGAGGTTTACAATAACAACATTCGTCATATTAAAAAACTGTAAAAATAAAATATAATAAGAGTATAATTTACTAATAAGCTATTATATTCCAGGGACTTATAAGGCTTATCAAAATCATTATATCATTATGTATCAATAATATGTAAAATATATGATTTAAAAATGTAATTCAATAATTAACTAATAAATAAATAATAAATCAACAAATTTGATATTTTATTCTATCTCACATAATTGCAAATATTTATATATATATATATATTTATCGGCTTACTTGAATTTTAAGACTTTCTACGAAATCATCAATTTGAAGGTTACTCTTTGAGAGACATTATTTAAATAATATTAAATTTATAATTCTAATATATTAACGTCAACATTTATAGTGTCGTAGAGCTATAACTATTTCAAATGTAGAATATTACGAAGAATAAACATGAATCATATTTACCGTGAGTAAATATTCAGAGATATAGAATAGGAAGTTATAATTTGGTTCCTTAGTCATGGGTCATGTTTAATAACCACCTAATTCATTTATCTATTATTTTTTAAAGAGTTTAACACGTTTCTTAGATTATATAAAAAAAACATTTTGATAATAAAATGTAGGTATATTAATTTAAATCGAATATTCTTCGCTATGCAAAACAGTATATAATGTATAATATATATGTATAATAACTATTACAAGATACAATCAATATATTATATTCATATAGAATAGGTTTTTTATTTGGTTTGTTTTTCGTTTTACGTATGATATGATCTTTACGATCCAAAATTTCTTAATCACCTTACAAAACAGATTTCGATGTCTGCACAAGTGTAGGTAACGTTGACGGGGGTAGAGGAGACTATGTTTATTTTAGTTATTGTATTATCATTTTTTATTTGCTGAGGAGACATCATTTTGGCTAAAGTTTTCTAATATGTACTCATAGAGTGGAGAAACTGGCTAGAAAACTATGTAAGATGGTGGATATATAATGATGAATCAGAACTTATTAATTTTGGTATTTTTGCAGTACTTTTTATCTTTGCGACCATTTCTTTCACATTCTTACATCAACCATAATTAATAATAATCGATTATATAAACAACCCAGAGCGATTAGTAAAAATAAAACATAAATAGTTGAATCGTTTTTAGTTCACAATAAATAATATTTATTTATTAATGTAATATGTTATTCATCAATAGGAAGCAATGATTTTTTTATGCAAATTATTTTGTACTGATGATAGACTCTTAAGGGTAAGTTTATCTTTTACTGTGGTATTTTATTGATATTTTAAAAAAAAAAAACTGCGATAAATTTTTTGTACAAAAAAAAAAATTATTTTAATAGTTCATCGAATATATTATTAGACAAGAAAAGAAAATCGGTAGCCTTTCTAGGAATAACCGTTTTTACAGTCTACCCATAGTTTATCGAGTATGGAAATCTGATATCGGGTAATACTGGGTCATGGTCCTCATATATTGCAATGTCGGACAAACAATTTAAAATTTGTATGAATTTTTAGCGCAATCTACATATATCTTGGCACAACAAGTTGTTAGTTTTATCGATTTATTTTTGACACGACGAAACGTCATTCGAAACGTTTGTAAAACTATTACATTGTTATGATATGGTTTTTCAACAGATGCTCGTTCTGGATCATGAAAAAAAAGTAAAATCGTCAAAATTTCTTTGACACATGCGTGCATGTTAAGGAAAATCATCGCCTAATAACGTACGCTTCCGCTGTTGCGTCGGAAACAACGTATTCATAACGACCTACTTGCTGCGCTATTAATTATTTTTTTTCTATTTTATTTTTATTTTATTTTATTCTTCCACTGAAACGGCAAAACGCTCTCCCGGAGAAGACTAGTGGACACCGTAATGGATGTGACGTGGGCAGGGCCGTGGAAGGAGAAACCCGGACCTGGGGGGTGTATCTAAAGGTATATCTTAATTTTTCTGCAGTGTTCATTAAATTCTTTTAATTAATTGTGTTTAATTTTTAATATATTCGGTGCACAGCTCTTATCGAGCACACATGTTTATTAAACGTCCGCGATTCTTTTTATGTTTCACTTATACAACTTTGTCGATTTTAACAAAATTAATACCGCTGAAAAGGGGGAAAAAAGACGAATCACTAGTATTTCAGGTCTTACCCACTACGGGGGTCTGTGCTGCCCCAAGGTAAGAAAAATCACATTTTTAATTACCGTTGCACAAAATGTCTAACCAAAATAATACGCTGCCGCGCTCGTTATCTAACCAAAATAACACGTCACTGCGCTCGCCACCACAAAAGAAGCCATACAACAACAAGACGATAACTCCAATTAAAATTGTAAATGGCAATCAAATAATTAAACAAAACGAAATAATAAACACCGACCCGGACGATTTATCATCTGTTGATTGGACATTGGTAATGTCTCCTTACTCCCAAAAACGTCAGCACATTCCATCACCTATTACGTCTCCCAAAACCAAACAAAGCAATACATCAAATCAGTTTACAACAAAAAATCGTTACGCCTCACTTTCTGAAAACTTATCTACTCAGGAAATGGATACTGATCAAACGTCTGAATTACCAAATACCAAACCATAATTACCACCTCCAATTTTTATCAAATTTGAATTAAACTACAAACATTTCTGTGACGTTATCAAACTATTAATCGGTCCCGGAGAATTATTTTGTAAAAGTCTTATCAATAACCTAAAACTTCAAACAAAATCGGCTGATTCATTCCGAAAAGTAAATAAACTGCTCAAAGAAAAAGGAGTTGATTTTCACACTTATCAAGTTAAACAAAATAAACCATACAGAGTCGTTTTTCGGAACTTACATCCATATCACGCCTATCGATTTTATTATCCAAGAATTAAATGAAAACGGATTCACTGCAAGACAAGTTGTAAATGTAAAAAATAAAATAACAAAACTACCGTTACCCCTATTTTTCATAGACCTTGAATCTGACCAAAATAACAAAGAAATATTTAAATTAACTTCAATATGCTACACCAAAATTAAAGTTGAAGAGCCACACCTCCGACGCCAAATAATACAATGTCTTAGATGCCAAGATTTTGGTCACTCGAGAACATACTGTAATCACGCACTTCGATGCGTGAAATGTGGGGAAAACCACAATACTTCTGCCTGTTTAAAACCCATCGACGAACCACCAAAATTCGCACTATGCGAAGGACAACACCCAGCAAGTTATCGAGGTAACATTGTGTATAAAAATGTACAACAAAGACACCAGAAAAAAAAATAAAATTAACCAAGATTTTCAATCTGATATTAAATTATTAAGTAACAATAATCCCATACCTGTTAAAGAGGTCTATTGCACCACCCCAAATGATAATATTAATACTAATAATCAGCCTCACACTCAATCATACGCAGATGCCTCTTGTCAATTTAATAATACAAAAATCCATGAACAAACCACAAATTATTTTTCCAAAGAGCTCACCTCATTCCTAGATGATTTTAAATTAATTATTAATCCACTTATTTCACTTCTCACAACGGTTATCAACAAACTTTTAATAAAAAATAATGAATAACTCCACCCAATCCCATCCCTCATTAAACATTTTACTCTGGAACGCAAACGGTGCCATTCAACACAAACATGAACTTCATAACTTATTATTCGAAAAAGAAATTGATATATTCCAAACTCGATTCCCAAAAAAATCCTCTTATAAAAAATATATCCTCTCACGTTCTACCTGGAAACCCAAAACGACGTTTAAAAAGAAACTGGTCCTGTGACCTATTATAATAAATTGCCAAATTACAAATTATGAGGGTGTTGTCAATGGGCCTCTTCCCCAATCATGCTATTCATGCCATTGTTATTCATAATATTTATAATATTTACTTATTGTCTTTGTTTTTATGTACAGATTGTAAATTTCTTTAAAATAAAAAAAAAAATTTTTTTTTAATAATTTGTAGTCCCTAATTTCCAGCATCTTCTCGTCAAACCTGGTCGTGGGGTGTTTATACGAACTTTCCGGTTTCCGCCCGAGCCCCCGGGTACAACGACCGCTAGACGAAAAAAACGAAAAGCGAATCATGCGATCGCTCAGCAACGATTGTCGACTACGTACTGTTTGCATACGTTATATGTGTGTTACGGATTAAGTTCGAAAACGGGTAGTATACACATTACCCGTGTAAAGTAGACCCAATTCATATGAATAGTATAACATGAACATTATCCAGTGTGCTATGGATAATGTATGAAGTAGAAAAAAATTAACCAAATCATATTAATTCAAAAATATTAAGTGAATTATTTATTATCATGTTATTATTATATAGTTACATATAAAAAAATTAAATATACTTATCTATTGGAACCATTAGGGTGGCATTTTGAGTTGCAAAATATCTCCCCAGATTTACATTTACTC